TTATTCGGTACTTTGATGAGCTGTCGCGAATGATAGGAAGCGTTGTCAAGAACTATTACACTATTCACATCCAAATTTGGGATCAATGTGTTTTCAAACCATTCCTCAAAAATATTATCTTCCATGTTCCTATGATAGTCAACATTGCAGTCCTCAAGCTTACTTCCACGGGAAGTATTCAATTTCTTCCTTATGATTTTAATTGTAGGAATCTCATTGCTTTTGTAACAGTCGTATATTGTTTTTTTTAATGATCTTATCAGATGAACCTCTAAAGGTTTTAGTGATCTCGCATCAAATCGCGTCTTGCGTTCATAAGATTTGTTTTTGACTATTTTACATACAGTTGAGAAAGAAATTTTGGTGAAATCTGACGTTGCTTGTAATAGTTTTTTTTCCCTCGAAACCAAACTTGATATGTAGATTCTTATATACATTGAAACATACTCTCTGTGTTTCAATTTCAAATGCATCCGAATCTTATTCACTGGTATCTCTTTTTCGCATTGTTCAACATCGCTATTGGAATCACTACACAGGAAAAAGTGTGCGTTGTTATCACACTCGTTATTACTATTAGTACTTGTCCAAGGACGCCACATTTTAAACAAATAACAAAAATTGTAAGTAATTATAACTTCACCAATATCGAATTTCAACACTCAAATCGCGATCAGTTCCTGAACTGAACGTTGACGACACAACGGCGGTACTCATCGCTACATTCTGTTGGTCACCGTAACATCCATAAATTTAACAGTCATAAATCACTTATCGAGGAACAAGTACAAATCAAAACACAACAAGACCTAATATTCAATATATTAAACAAATCAATACACACTCCTAGAAACAATAAACCTAGAGAAGATCCAACACAAAGAATAGTACCTGATGTAATCCAAATACAGGCAAATTTACCTAAAGTACCTGAAATACCTGTATTGAGGCGTTCGGACTTCAATCGAGGACCGCCTGCCCGGTACTGACGATGCTCAATAGGCTGAAACAGCGGTCTACTGGTGGCTCTTAGATTGAAATCAATATGTAAATTATCAAAGAAGTACTTATCTATTTATCTTTTGATTTTCATGGAATTATTTTCCAGCAGCTCGACTGCATTAACCTTTCTCGATTTCATATCATTTCTAAAAACATGTGGATTCGTTTTCAGATGGCATTTCAGGTTAGCTTCCCAAATTTTCTGCTACCGCAGTTGTTAGTTGATTGGTCAAACCACCAACACTGACATAAAAACATGACAAGTTGACTTGGGTGTCACACCAATAGGGTGGTTCTACTTATGTTTCGCTTGCGTTTACGCAGTTATTTTTATCGAGTACTTTTCTTGGTTTTTCACATTTTGTCTTCAATCGAGGACCGCCTGCCCGGTACTGACGATGCCCAATAGGCTGAAACAGCTGTATACCGGTGGCTCTTATATTGAAATCAATATGGGAATGATCAAAGAGTACTTAT